TTTTCGTAACGCGCCAAGTTTCTGAACCATCATATAGCAGCAGCACTGACTTGACATCGGTGTTGAAAATCCGGATCTTGTTCTTTATTCTGAGTGCAGTGAAGTAGATCTTCACACTGATTCCACATTAATGAATGCCTGTCTTGTGTTAAGATAACAGAAAATGAAAACTAAGAAAAATGCTAACAAAGAGGAAGATCTGCCCAGGTTTATGTTCTCCCACCCTCAATATGTACTTAAATGGCTTCAAAAACAAATGGAGTGTAAAACTTTGATAAGTGCAGGTGGAAAGACAACGCTTTTCTTCTAAAGATAAACAAATTGAAGAAACAAGTAACAAAATTAATGTCCAAATAGCTGTGAAAGTTTCATATGGAAACAGTCGAGGATGCATAGTGAGAATTGCGGAAATGATGTACATACCCATTTTGGAACTACCTTTATGTGTACTGAAACAGTTTTTTCTCACATTACACGTATCTTAGTCTACTTTGCTTTTTTCAACCAAGATTAAGATAAGCAATCTCATTCTTCCTTTTCTTTCGCATCTTTCTTAATTTTAATCCCTTATTATGTCAATTGTTGTATTTATCCCCCTCCCAGTTCTCAGTTTAATATATATTGACTTGACAAGTAAATGTGTGATCAGATTGTTCGAAATGTACCGCACAAATATATCACACATTGTTCCGATAAACTTTGTCTTCTAATTACATTGTATATATTCATAACAAGGACTAATTGTTTCCAAAGAATGCTGAATAACAGTACATTTGAACCACTTGTAAAACTCTTGTCTGATCCTAAGTTGATACTGGGTGATAATTGAAGATGAAATGATAATTTCATCCACTGTCAGATTCAAACCAGTGATCATCGGGTTTCCGGTTCCATACTATACCAACTCACCTACGAGGTACAAATGTTGACTAGATTTTTAATTCACTTCAATCACCAAGAATTTTACCCGACTACCATGTAAATTCGTGATGAGTCAGTACCACTTGATCGTATTCACACTGGCTGCCCAGTCAGGACTTATCATCCCAACAGAAATGTAACTGAATTAGAGGGGGAGTATCATATTGATTATGAAAAAGACTGATTGAGCGAAGAAATATATTTCTTTTCAATTAGGTCTTCATCTTCGGCTCTACACTAATATATAGGTTTACAATTTAATCAAATTACCAATCACTCGGTGTTTCGGAAATAATGATGTAAATAATCAATAGGGTTACTAAAGTAGGAAATATGAATATTGATGGAAACCAGAAGGGGAGGAGGTATACAAAATAAACCTAGAAGTTACATCATGTTGACGGCCACGGTAATGAAAGTGGTTGAACAAACTTCTTTTGGGATCAAAGGCTAGTTTTGTAAAGGTGGATAGCAATCGCCTCTGTTATGTGAAGTAACCGAGTGCGTAATCCATGTGGTAAATTAATTGGAACCTGATGGGTGATTTTGAAAGCTTTTCCAGTATCAACTTGATGTCATGTGTCAACTAAGTGTGCAAGTGTGGAGCTCTTTATAGTTCTAATTTGTCCCTTGTTCAACCATGATGGGTAGTGCTCAGAAATTCGACGATGGAACTGCCTCATTGTACGCCCAATATAACTCGCTCCACAGGAGCAGTTGAATTGATAAATGCACACAGAAGTAGGGTCACCTCTTGGCCCACTCTTAGCAGATTTTTTTCTGGCAAAACTTGAGAATGGTCTACTGAACGATACTATAAGCCGTTTAGAGTTATATTGTCATTATATGGATGATACGTTTATAGTTCTCAAAAATGAGACTGATAAAAATGCTGTTCTGAATAAGTTCAGCAGTGTCACCCGGCAATCAACTTCACAGTGGAAAAGGAGAAAAACAATAGTATACCATTTCTTGATGTTCTGTTGGTAAGAAGGTCAGATGGAACCCTGAAGCGAAGTGTTTATAGAAAGCCAACATCAACAGGTCAATATACGCACTTATTAGTCCTGTACCCCTCCAATACAAAAGGAACCTAGTGAAATGCTTAGCATACCGTGCATCAGCTATTTGCTCAGAGGATGCTATAAAGGAAGAGTGTGCCACCATCCGTGATCTGCTTAGTAGGAATGGCTACCCAGACAAGTTTGTAACTAAGTGCATGAATATTACGAAGGTTAAGATAACAATGCCAACAGTTCCTAAGAAGCAAATCTTCTTGAAGCTGCAATTTAAGAGTGATATTGCCGGTGAGATCATCACACAACGCATAAAAAGAGTCTTGCATGAGGCATTCCCAGCCGATTATTTATGTCCCGCCTTCTACAACCGCCCGATTCTAGGTGCAAGAAATAAAGACAAACTGCCTGATTCTGCCACTTCTGTGTGCATTTATCAATTCAACTGCTCCTGTGGAGCGAGTTATATTGGGCGTACAATGAGGCAGTTCCATCGTCGAATTTCTGAGCACTACCCATCATGGTTGAACAAGGGACAAATTAGAACTATAAAGAGCTCCACACTTGCACACTTAGTTGACACATGACATCAAGTTGATACTGGAAAAGCTTTCAAAATCACCCATCAGGTTCCAATTAATTTACCACATGGATTACGCACTCGGTTACTTCACATAACAGAGGCGATTGCTATCCACCTTTACAAAACTAGCCTTTGATCCCAAAAGAAGTTTGTTCAACCACTTTCATTACCGTGGCCGTCAACATGATGTAACTTCTAGGTTTATTTTGTATACCTCCTCCCCTTCTTGTTTCCATCAATATTCATATTTCCTACTTTAGTAACCCTATTGATTATTTACATCATTATTTCCGAAACACCGAGTGATTGGTAATTTGATTAAATTGTAAACCTATATATTAGTGTAGAGCCGAAGATGAAGACCTAATTGAAAAGAAATATATTTCTTCGCTCAATCAGTCTTTTTCTAAATATCTAAATGGGAATATTCAATATATTGATTATGATTTGACTATCTGAGATGGATTTAGTTTGGCAGACTAGTATTCATAATGGATGATAACTGAAGGTGGAATGAGAATTTGGACATATAGGTTCGTATTTATAGGTTAATAGGGATTTTATTTGTTGTATCCTTTCAGTTTGTGGATATGAGTTGTGTTATTTTTGCTGGGTAAATAGGAAAGGTGTTATAATAACAAAAGCTTTATTACAATGTTAGAAATGTACACAACATGGAGGGTTTTATATATAATTTTAGCAGCCTTGACTGTTCTTAAGCCTTTCTTGATTCAAATGTCCTCTGGATTTTACAACCTTTCAGCCAATCTGAAAATTATATGTTGGTTCATGTGTTTTCTCTTGATACTTCAATGTAACATGATTGGTTGTCAAAACCTTTAGAGATTCAAAACTTTTTATGAAGATTATGACAATCTTATCCCATTGAGTGCTGATATCATTTGAAGAACCATTGAAACCGGTAAGCACTTGAAAGCCCTCTCATCCTAGTATGAAACTCTTCAGCTCTGCAACACCCACGATCTTGATAAGGATCGAATTTCGAGCTTTTAAATTTCATGGGGTACGCTTTAACAGCTCAGTGTAGTGGTCCACACTTTTCTACTTCTTTCAGTTTGGAATGAAATGTGACTGTTCACCAAGATCTTCAGATGGTTAACTACTCAGAAGTGAAGAGAATGCCAAGTGAATCTTGAAGGTTCTGATTTCAATCCCTGCTAAAGTCGTGGATGTGTACTGCGGATGGATCTCAGAATAGGGTGAAACAGCCGTCTAGTAGCCCCAGGCATCCAATGGAACCATTGATGCTTGCTAACATATGAATTTTGTCACTTTGTAAAAGATCGATTTCTATTTACTTTTGTCTTGAAAGAACTTCGAGTCATTGTGTCATGAAATATCATTTACGAACGGCATAATTTAAGCTAGATGGCTTTATTTCTATCCTATGAAATTTATTAATTACCATTTATCATAGTTATTGATCCAATATGGATGGAAAACTTAACTAAGATGATGGATTTAAATGGCACTTCGCTGTTTAAGAGATTTAAATCACGATTTCATGCCGACTAGGTAGATTTATTCAAATACATATAAACATATCGATTTATTCCATAGCCTTTAATGAGCTAGATCATTTATAATTAGGTTTGTTGATTAATCTATAAGGTGTGAACACAGTTTATTCATGAATTACTGGTGTGTATGTGTTTTTTTGAGCATCCATTTCTCTATTGATCTACTTCCCCTGGATTTCGTGCTTGTTGGTACTCGTCAGTAATTGATATCTGCAACTTTGAGGGAACTGATGTCGCTTCTGACAGTCTAACCAACTCCACCCTGTGCAGCAGTCTACGACGTTACAATTGATCTATTCACGTCGTGACTAACCTCCTGTAGGACTAGATTAGATACATTGATTGTCCACTACTAGGGAGTAACCAGTTTCATGTTGTCTGGCCCTCGATACTAACTAAATATTACCAAATAAAGTCCATCAAGGTGGACTGCTATAGCAGTCCACTAGTCTCGAAGGCTCACTATAGTAAGCCTTCGAGACTAGTGACCAAATTATTCCCATATAAAATAACTGATTATAAAAGTAAGTCATATTTCCCAACCTTTTCTTCTATTTATGTGATTGACCTTAAGACCTAACGTTTTTTTTAGTGTTTGCAGTATTAGTTTTTCTAGGAGTTCCATTACTTGATGATACAATTAATTGTTGATTTCAAAAGTTGTTGGTGTTGTGTCCTATCAGCTGGACTGTTTAGTCGTGAAGCTTTTTTTGTCATTCTAGACAACGTTATCACCACAAACTTCAAAAAGAAGTGAGCGGTATGGTTTTCTCCACAAGTTATTTAGTAGCTTGTTCTGTTGGTCTTGTATGTGATTGGTTGTTCCAGCCAAGATATTGCTACTGTCGCCATGTTTATTTTGATTGGTTGTCCTGAAATTCGACCTTCATGTTGTTTTTTATTGGTTAATGTCAATATGTCTGTTGATTGCTGACTCACCTGAATAGCAAGCTTCTAAAAATTCTCCAGCGTCCTTTGTATTTTCTCTGTGTAAAATTTCCACATTTATTCAGTCAAATTCATGTCTACAGTTGTCTCTATGTGCTGATGTAAGCGAAGATATGACGTTTCACTGCTAGTTTATGTTCATATGGACAGATGCTAAAAGGGCAACCATTGTATCCAACGTAGTGTGTTTCACAGTTTGCTATAATATCTTTTGACCTGTATAACAGAGAGTGAAGAGATTTTGTGTGTTTGTGAGCTAAAGCGATTCCAAATGGCTTTAGTAATCTACCCGAGATCTTGAAGACGTTCTTCATGAAGGGTGGGACAATCTGTCTGTTGGTTTTCTTCAATATTAACTTTTTGGCTGATGACGAATTATGTAAACATCTTTTGTTAAAGTTGCATGGGTAACTGTTCTGCTGGAAAACAGTCATTAAATAGTTTTTCTCTTTGCTCCACAGAGTTGATGTACTACTGTAGCTCTTTCGCTCTTTTGGACAATGTTTTTATATAACTGATTTTATGTGATGTTGGGTTGTATTTATCATGTTTTCTTTTCATTCTCTATATCTCATAAACTCACACGTATATAACTATTGATCTCTGATGTATTTATTCTAGCAAATTTCAGTAATATTCCTTACAGGCAAATAATTCTCACGTAAAGTAGAAAAAGTAAAACCATATCAGATAGACGTCATTGTTAAGCATTACTAATAGTAGTGGGAATACATTTACAACACTGAAACGGAAGTGATATTTTCTAGCGAATTTATTCTAACCATCAGTCAGTTAGTTGATGATTATATGGTGAAATCAATAAATTCAATGTTCAAGGTCATATGAGGTTAAATTTGTCTGTACATTTTAATTACCAAATCAAACTATGCTAAAATTAAAGTGTGTGTATGTGTGAAAGAAAGTAAGCTATTTTGTTAGCTTCATTATTCAACACAAGCGGATTTAAACAATCTACAAAAAAAGAGAGTGGAATGGAATTTTCCGGTTTTGTTTTAATTGGTTAGAGATTAAAACTGTTGTACATTATTACTGTAAATGAAAAAAACAAAACAAAAGTGTATTATTAAATAGATTGTTTTGGAGGTGGTTTTGCAACATTATAGATTTTAGTTGAATGACTACTAAGACTAAGTTACTCTTCAACAGAAAGGTCAGTTGAGCAAAGAGATAGATATTGTTTAGTCAGTTATCTTCTCGTCTTGACTGTATACCAGCATTATACACTGACCTAATTATTGTGTTTTGCACATCAACTTAATAATAATAATCACAAAAATCAAGTATAATGCAAAATATTAACTTCATTTTATGGAGCGACTTTGAAGTTCATATTAACAAAACCATTAAAATAACCAATCAGCTTTCAATATTTCAGTTATGAAGGAAGAAATATAATTGGTTGTTTCAGTATTTATTAGGGTGATCTTTAAAGTAACTCATGTTATGAGTATCTGCCTTTTTAGTCAAAATAAAAGAATCTAATTGGTTATTTCAGTTGTAGCTAGGAGTGATTTTAAAGTCGCTCTACAGTATTACCTACGTAACAAGTCATTCGAACTGTTACATGTTGCTAAAATTTACATGAAAACACAAACTTTACACTCACTATCCGCATACATTTGCAAATATGAGGCTTGTAAATATATACCTGAAAAGACTGTTAACAACGTATCATAATTCATAAGAGTGATACAATACACTTCAGACATAGAAAATATGACGATGCCTTTGAATGTCAAGTAAAAGATTCAGTTGTACTCTGAATAGCGTAGTGGTTCAGTCTCTAATTGTAACACTAAGTGACGCAAGTTGGGATCGCCGAGGGGACACTAGTTTCCTCTTAGTTACAAATGCTTACAAATAAGTGGTAACAAACATGAAACCTAGGTCAATAAGGACTTCCTACCGTTTGACTTTGAACATGTGACACAAAAATACAGTCTTGGATTATTACAACCTGAATCAATCGAATTTGACTGGTGATGAGCACTAAAAGATGGGTTGCCCAATCGTGATTAATTTATGCATAGTATCAGTTTTATTCTCCGAAACTCATGAGTACCTGCAAAGGCATATGTTTATGACCTTTCGTACAGTTTTCCTTAGAGTTTGTGGCTGTCTACATCATGGTCTCTGTTTCCAATCCTAGTGGGAACAACATTAATCACTGTGATGTAGATACATCCAGCTGATGATTCCCGAATAGGATGAAATGCGCATCCTGAATTTTGTTGTTAGCCACTATCCATCATTAAATATTATTCCAGTTTGAAATACACGAATACAGAATTAGTAAGTACAGTTCCGTTAACTTTGTAATATGTTAATCATTTATAGGTAAAAGTACTTTACATAACTGACAATGAAACTGTCTTTCTTTTACCAACTATATTATTGTTAAATTTGTGTGTGAAATATATAGAGAAATATTAAAAATGTTTACCAATCAATATTTTTTCGAAAATATTTGCACTACTCTGTTACAAGCACTACTAACAGAAGAATGTCAATATTCACGCGACTCATAAGTTTAGACAAATATTTTACCATTTCTCTTTCTACAAAAATATGAATGATTATATTCCGCACAGTATTGATTATTTCATTTCCAATTCATTGTTCAATCATTTGGTGTAACAGCTAGACTGTCTTAAAATATTCATGATCGGTTGAAAATAAAACTTATTGGTAATCTAGATTCATTGACTTCAAAGTAAAATTCATCGTTGACTGACACTATTGAAAACATGGGAATACTGGAGAGCCGTTTCTTCCTCGTACGAGCCTCCTGAGTAGTATGCACCCATAATCTCACCAGGGATAGAACTCGCAGCAAATCAGCCAGCCGCTGGATTGATTTCGGTGAGCTTACGTTATCTGAACTAGATATTGAAATCTTAAGGCTCTTATTGGTATTCTTGATAACACGGTCAGCATGGAATTTAAAATTCAGTGAGTTATGAGGAAGTGGTTTTCATCAGTATCCTGGTATCCTGTTGACCATCTGAAAATGTTAAGGAATTGCTGACTTCTTTTCATCGTGATACTGTCGTTTGGAAGCAAATGAAAATTCTCATTTGTTTGATTGACTACTGAGATATGGGCCGATTAAAAGAGAGCACTTGTTCCATATGTGGTATTGTGAGTGTGATTTTCATTTAGTAGTTTTCACAAGCTGACATCAATTGAAGAAGTATGAGAAACCTCGCAATACTGAATGCTTGCTTCTTAGTGTGGAAATGCTCGGCAGCATGATTGAATGACCGCCTGATGGAGCTAGACAAGAACAGTCACACCTGCCATGTTTTCAGTGCTTTTGCAACTGATATCGCTCCACAATGTCGAAAAGTAGTCATAAGCCACCAAGTGAACGTAATGAGGGCCGGTTAGATACCTAACTAGTTATATCTGACTGTCGAAAGAGGAGTAGTGGAATAGGTGAGAATGTCAACCACTTCATTTACTCAGGGAACTAAGATTGTAGTAGTTGGATATGCTGGATTAACCAGTCTCTTGTACAACAAGGAGAGGTTTGATTTTTTGGTCGAAAGGACTATCATTTTGATCAATTTTGAAATGATGATTAATATCTGAAATCTTCAAACTAAGTTTTGTTCCTTTTTGTCAGTTCACAGTTGACCTTGAAATATCCTACCTTGTTAGTCACTCCGTTCACCCAGAACGTCTGTTAGTCGTCTCCGGTCACTAAGGGACTATCGAAAGATCTATATACGTATGACATGGCATAACAATGTAGCTGAAAGAAGTAGAATAGGTAAAAGAAATTTCTCTGAATATTCTAGTCAAGTGTGATCAAGTAATGTGAATGGTCATACATTGCCAGTCAGTTAGTTATTTCAAGTAAATGGATGTTCCGAGAAACAATGAGAAGCGATGGGTGTTTGATTTCAGTTGACTAGCTGAATATTGATGTGATCAGGATGACATCCTTCGGAGTTATGAAATGTAGATAGAGTAAACACTGAGTCCCACCAAATAGTTGGAAATTATGATTGAATAATTACAGAAAAGTTTATAGTCTCCAGTTGTGTCTTTATTAGCTTAGTTAGTTCTGTGCATAGACTGGGGCTGATAGACAGATAGATAGACAAGCAGGTTGGTAGGTAGGCAGATAGATAGACAGACAGATGGACAAATCAATGAAGAACCTCACACAGATGTTCATCTGCTCAATTTGTCCTACTTCACAGTTGCATAAAAAGGACAAGTTGGTCGATAAAGAGCAACTACAAAATAGATGAATGTGTATGGGAGAAGAAAGAAGAAAGGAATGAAGGTTGGGGAAGTTGTTGAGCTGTCTGAGCATAAATATTTAGCTAAATTAAGGTTGGTAGATCCTAATAGTATAAGAAATCTAGAGAAAGGTTCAGTTGTGACTGTGTATGTGATTGCACACAATTACACAACTGGATAGGACAGAGCGATAGTATGAAAAGTTAACTTAAGTGGAGAGAGATTGATACCTGACTCTTCGTTTATCGAATCAACCTTAAATACATGGAACAGGAATGGTTCCGCACGTGTTTCAGACTAGTGGAGAATACTACTATCCTTATCATAAAGAAGTAGAGAGAATCAGAACTAAGTAAATTGTGTCTCAAAATTGTGGAGTTACCTGATAGGAATGTGGATAGTAAATTTTTTCCGATACTTTACCCAGTTAATAATAATACTATTTCACAGTGTAACAAATCTTATAAAGAGAATAAAATGGTATTATGATCTACCATGGTACTCAAGTTTTACTTTTATGCTGACTTCACTATTCTGTTACTTTCAACTATAAATAGGTGGTTACTAACCACCACAAAGATGCAGTAAACTACGTTTTCAACTTCTCTACTTTTCTTATAATTCCAAGTCACCCAAAAACTCAGTAGTCTTTGACTCGATCGTAGCTAAAGTACGCGATACACGCTACTGAGGGGTCTTTAACATTCAGTGTTATCCTGGCTAGTATAAGTTCGTGGCAAAAACTATCTTGAAGTCTGTTATAGTATGCAGAAACATTCACAAAATATTATTAAAAACCTGCACATGACTAAACCATTTTTCAACCAACCGTTTTGTCTCGGAGTTTTGGGAAAAAAACGTGAACCAACGTGTAAGTATCAGGTTGGTTGAAGAGATAAAAAACCAGTCAAATTAAAATCTAGTAGGCCTAAAAATAGTCTAAGCCGTTGTAATATACATAAAACCTTGTAATTTGTATACATATGTTTGACGTTGCAAAATACACCTTCTGTTATACTATTGCCTTTTCTATTGATGGAGAATCTGAGTGACCATTTAGGGTGGAATCGGAAGGTATTTCTACCCACTTCCACATCCACACAATGCAGACTGTGTTAAGTTATTGGTAAAGAGATATAAAAGTGACAACTCTTTCTGTTGAAGAATTTCAAACTCTGTTACAACACTCTGAAGAAAGAAGGAAAGCCGCATCAGTGAGGATTATTGAAAAATCCAAGTAAACGCTGAATGATATCCAGGCAGAAGCTACATCCATAAGTCCTAAGATTTTGAAAAAGTCTTTTGTAAATACTTCATTGGTAGACACAGTAAAGCTAAAAATTAGTTGAAGAAAGGTAACGTTACGTCCGTGGATGAGGGCGATGTTAACCCTTCCACTCTCTACCCCTGAAATGCAGACATTCAATCAGATCATGTTGATAAAAACCATGAAGTACTTTTCGAGAGTTTGCAATATGACGTAACATGTTTGGTGCCATCCAGCCTTTCTATCATCATGCTTCACAATGAATGTCCACGAGAAGTTTCCAAGGAGTACCAGGGAGGGCTCAAACATCAAGGTCAAATATTACACGGATACCCAAAGGGGTCCAATGCCCCTGCACACGTACCAATAAACATAGTTACTTTGCATGATAGTGGATTACTTTATCAAAGATAGTTTATATTCATACAAGAAAATGGACACAAGGACCATCTGGAAGCCAGGTTCACCTTGAACATCATATCCACTAACCTGCAAGCAACTGGAAACC